CCTACCAAATGTGTGGGTTTTCCTATGAAGATGCGGCAGGAATATCCTACCAAATGGGCAAACCCTAAACAAAAGAATCAAGGATGCGAGTGATGAGTGCCCTTTTTGTGGCTTAAGAGAAATGCAGGAATACGTTCTAAGGGATTGTGACTAGGCAGGCGGATCTGGCGGCCTAGTTTTCTAGGAAGTTTGTTTCGCAAAGGAGAAGAAAATTCAAATGAGGAACGATTTGCGAAATATTCGAGAAAGCTATGGATGAATATCTATGTTTGGTTTCTATGGACCTATGGTATATTTGTACAAACGAACAACCATCAATTCAACAGCAGAAAATTAAAAGAAAGGGAAGTTATTGAAAGATCATAGCTTTACCTGAATGAATCCCAGAGCAATTAATCGTCGGAGCCACATGTGTGCACGAATCACACTGAGTATAAATGAGAAAGGCTAGGAGAGGGTTCACTTACAGTAAATGTAGATTCTTTAAAGTTGGGAGAGGGAGGAATGATTCTGGGTATGGTGATTCGAGATGAAGAAGGTTGATTCGTGATGGTTGCGATTAAAAGGACAAGGTTTGATTGGTCGTTGGAGCTCACAAAACTCAGGAAGCACTCTAAGACCTAAGACTCGCGCAAATGCATGTTTCAACGTCGATGCTTCTGGATGCGGATTGTTAGACATTAATACAGAAACTCAACAAAGAAGAATAGGTGGAAACAAAATTGGGTATTGTTATCAATGAAATTCGATAGTTGAGCAAGGAGATAAGAAATGTGTTGTGGAAGTCCAGGGGTAGAAGAGGAAATGAAGTGTCACATTAAAAGGCTTGGGTTCTTTGTAGGTGGGAGGAAACTAAGGCTTCTATGGAAAGAGCTCTTGTTCTTTTCGAGAGAGACTTATTGAGCAGTGTGAACACCAAATATATCATTACGTTTTAATATCATAAGGGTACGTTTGTGCAATGGTGAATCCAAAAAAATTTACATAGGGGTGTCCTCTCTCAAAAATTAAATTAAATTAAATTTAAAAATTAAATATAAATTTTCCAACTAGTATAAGTTGCAATAAAAGTTCAGACATATTTCGTTTTATGAAAAAATGGTAAGATATACTTTGTGTTCACACTGCTCAATAAGTCTATCTCGATATATCCTACTAGACAAGGATAGCCGATTATTGGGTTTAATTGTTAGTTTTAAAAATAATTGGGGATAAAAATATCATTTTACTGTTATATTTGGATCTAAAACACAACAACGACTGAGGTGTAGTCTAATTAAAAATTTGTTTACTAACTGTGTCTCAAGTTTAAATCACATAGACTACCGCTTAAATATTATTTGTATCCATACGGCAATTTACTACGAGAGGTTAGATCATCCTTTTCTCAAATTTTAAAAGTGTTATGCTACCACTTAAATATTTTTTTATCCATACACAAGAAATATGTTGGTTGTGTCACCGGATACAAAATGCTATTAATGTTTTTTTGGTTTTGTAACTATATTTATAGGCTCAAAAGAGAAACAAAAGTTCTCAATTTTTTAACCAATATGGAGAACACGTGCACGTGGATGATACGTTGGTGACGCAACCATTGCTTTGGTGGATATCAGACTATGAGTCAACAACCCGTGGGTTTGGATCTCCGCCTTTCCCGTGCGTGAACGACAAACGCGACGGTGGTGACTGTGCCACCGACACTCAACCCAATATCATTCCACCCCACGGCCTGCCTGCGTCGAGATCTGAAATCTGAATCTAGATACCTTTTTCACCCTATCCAAGCAAGCACGACGACGTCGTATTCTTTGGTCGTTTCCTGGAACAACCCGGTAACTCTAACTCTGCTCAATATATAAAAGTTAAAACTTAAAACCAAAAAGTGATAGCAAACAAAACCTTACCTATCCAAGCAGGGTTATAGGCTGTTTCCTCGGGAAAACCAAATACCACCGTCGGTACCGATTTTGGTTTCCGGCGATGTTGATTTGATGTTTCGTGATAGAAACTCTTGTGGTACCGTTTGATTGGACGCGTCACTGAATGTTGAAATCAACGTGACCGTCAAATCAACATCGTCGGGCGTTGTTGATTTGATCGGTGTAACTGACTTCTCAACTACCGCTACTCATATGGAGATTCCTGTGGAGAGCTCCGCGACTACGACTAAGACTACAACTATGGAGATCCTTCCTGGAACGAGAGCTCCGCGAAAGAGTTACAGAGAAAATGTAAAGTTTGAACAGAGTTGATCTGTGTTGATTTTTTGGTTCCTCTCTCTCCTTGCTGCTTTTATTTGAAAAGCATCTTCGTAGTCTTTACGCTCCGTGAAACCGCTTCCTCAACGGCTCCGTTGTGAACTCCCACGTGTCTCAACCTCCTTGATCTCCTCTTCGCTATAGTTGGCGTGAATCTTACGTGAAAGAACAAATAAATCGTCGCTGCACCGTTGTAAACTGCTGACCCTGCATCTCAAATCTCTACTTTTATCCACATGAGACACACGTGTGAAGTACCTAAGCCAAGGATCGGTATCGCGGTTCGAACCGCGACGTTGTTATTTCATGGCTGCAATACCTTCATAGATTTGAGCCACAAAATTATTAACAAAATCGCATTATTAATTGAAATCGTGCCTTTGCAAGACCCGCAACGGTGTTGGTAATTAAACTCCACGCCATTGTCGGACTCGAGACATTGCATAACTAACCTCACGACATCGATAAATCGATGTTGTTACCCATCGCGATGTCGTTGAGCTCGCATCACTGTCAAATTTACAAATTGAATTTACGACATCGTTTAACTCCGCGGCATTGTTGACCGCTAAAATTGTTTACCATGCAGTGTCGTTGGGTCTCACGCGATGCCGTTTTCTTCCCCAAACAACTCTATCTAGTTTTTTACTATCCGACATTGTTTTATATTAAACACTGTCGTTTTCTAATCTGCGGTGTTGTTTTCTCTCGCGGCGTCGTTTTCAGCCAAACAACACCGTCTAAAATAATTATTAAAAAGATTAATTAATTAAACCGACTCATTATTGTATTCTCATCCCTCGGCACAGTTTAATCTTTCCGCGACATCGCTTTTCACTAATCGATGCCGACCTTGAACTGCTCCATCCCGATCCCATCAAAAAATGTCGTTTTTCATTCCGCGACATTGTTCTCTACCAAACGGTACCATTTGCTCGTCTTGTGGTGCCGTTGGGCTTGCCGGACCGCCTAACAAAATAATAAAAAGAAAATATACCAACGTATTAAACTGCCGAGCTTTTGCACGTTGGGCTGGATAGATTTTTGGGCCAATCACTTACCCGATATGGTTTTTAATTAGTCGGCATCACTTATCAAGGCCTCTTGCAGTATCGTTTTTAAATCTGCGGTACCGTTTTAACTCTCCGCGATGCCGCTTGTCTCCACACGGTATCGCTTCTCCCCTTCCGACGCGGAATAGAAAAAAAAACTCCTTTTCCAACACCGACACTAATCGTGCGGCCCAGAACTTGTTTTTCGGTAAACAGTGACGTTTCTAGTGCCGCGGTACCGCTGAGCTTCCTTGCGGTACCGTTTACACTCTCCGCGACATTACTCGATTCCAAACGACACCGTTTTTTATCATGCGACATCAAATTAAATACCGAGACTCATTAATGCGGCATTTAATTAATCCAAATTAACTTTAGGTGTAAACAATGCCCCCACAACTTGATTTATAAGAATTTATGAACCAAATTGTTTACACAATTTAAATCACCCGAACCTAAAATTCCATTAAGTGGCAACTCCAATTAAAACCACAAAACCATGTAGCTTCCAAGTTGCCATGCAATTATGCGGCCAAAACTTGATGAAGGTCCCCAAATACAATTTGGTTTCTAAAACATTATTAGCCTTGCATCATGGCTGCGGCCAGTGCAACATTGCAATTTTTTTTTTTTTTTAACAACAAGCCAATTAATTTTGGCTTTAAATAATCTTGCCAGCTATGCGGCAAAAAAAATTATAATAAAATAAACTATTCCCTAATGACTTCTCAACATCGGCAGCTCTGCTTGGATTCATACACAGTCCTGTTTTGGCCAAATTTCTAGCAGCCTTGTTTGCGGCTGCCGCAAGGTTGCCTTGGCCCAAAACTGACTTTTTTTTTTGGCCCAAAACTGACTTTACTCCCACAGCGTTGCCCAGGCCAAACGACAGTGTTTTGGATTTTTCCTCCTTGCCCGCATCGTTGCAAGAAGCCCACAACGTTGATTGAGCCAAGTGCCAACACACAAGTGTTTTGTCCATGCCAACACTGTTGCGGCCTAAACGTCACGAACGTTACATAGGCCAGCATCTGTGTTTCAACTCTCTTTCTCTTCTTTTTTTTTTCATATTATAAATCCTTATTTAAGGATAACAATAATAATAAAATAAAAAAGAGTACACCGTCGCCACGAGCAAAACGGCAAATAGCAATAAAACAGAGTTGCCACATACCTTCCGCAACATTGTTTTTGTCTGAAGAGAAAAATCCCCTTGCAATATTTGTTGAGGCTACAACGCCGTGATGCTAGCCGAATCCTTTTCTTTTCCAGCAAGGAAGAAAAATCAATCCTTCCCCAACAACGCCAAGTATACCCGCAACAAACTTATAACCACGTTGTTTCTTGTTTTTTTTTTTTTTTTTCAAATTCTCGCAACGCTGTGGCCAAAACTATTTATTTAATGTTGTTAAACAACGTTGTATTCCTCTTAAGTAGGGATGGCAAAAATCCCCATACCCATGGGCTTTTAATTATCCAACCTTGTGGGGTTGGGTTTGGAGTGCAAGTTAAATTCAAATGGGTGAAGTCAGATGGGTCAAAACCCATACCCATTATATTGGATCTACTTTGGATTTACCCATGGATTTGGATAAAACAATCCAAATCCAAATAATTAAAACTGAAAAACAAAAAACAAAAAAAAATCGAGATTCTCTCTTTCCCTTCCATCTCAGTCGAGAGTCGAGACTCGAGACTTCTTTTCTTCCGAGCTGTCTCAGTTATCCCCTCCGCCGGCCACCGCCGTCGGCGCCACGGTCATCGCCGCCATCGTTATCCCCTCCGAGCTCCGACCCACTAGATCGCACCCGCTCCGCCATCGTTGTTGAAACCCACTCCAGCATTCGATTCGAAACGCAGTTGATTCGCCGGCGCCACGGCCATCGCCGCCATCGTTATCCCCTCCGAGCTCCGACCCACTGGATCGCACCCGTTCCGCCATCGTTGTCGAACCCACTCCAGCATTCGATTCGAGGTCTAATGAATTTAACAGGCGACTCGATGATACACGGGAGACAAAATTAGGGCTAGAAGAAACGAGAAAAAGTTACGAGATCGGAGCAGTCACCTCTAGAATTGAGCTCATTCCGTTGCGCTTCGAGACGATTGAGATTGTGACTCTTCTGCCGAACCAAGAGCTGGAGCTCGTGGATGTGTTGCTGGTAATATTGCTTGAGCCCTTCGCCCTGCTTGGACACGCCCTTGACGGAAGAAGCCTGATCTCCTATCGGTGAAATCTAAGACCAGCGACAGCTATCCCCTCTCACCCACCATCATCTCTTTCACTTGCGCTATCCCCTCCGCCATCACTGTCGTCCTCCCTGTTTCTGTCGGCTCTGGTGAGTTCTGGGTTTGCAACTTTCCTGTGTTTTGCAACTTTCCTGTGTTTATATTATTCTTTGCTGGAATTTCAATAGCCATTTAGTTAGTCTATGATTGTTGAAGTCTACATTGTTAGAAGTAATCTACCAATCTAACACTTGTTGTTTTTCCAGTGAGTTGCGATTCATCAAATTCCTTCTTGAGGCTTCCAGTTGTAGACTTCTAGTGCCTTTCCTGTCTGCGGTCTGCATTTTTGGAGTTGGTTCTAATTACTCCCACTTCTCTTTCGAGGTAAGACGTGTTTCTCTGGTTCTAAAAGTTGAAAGAGTTAGAAGTTAGAACTAGAAATATATAGTTTACTGTAATCTTTGTTTCGTTGAATGATTGGGCTGTTTCACTAGTTTGAATGATTGCTTGTTGCTTGTTTGGTATTTTTAGGGAAATATGGCTTCAGAAACTAATGATGATAATCTCTCAATGAATCACGAGACTAGTAATCCAGACCAACATAGTGTGCCTTCTAGTCGTATGTCATGGTCTTCTGCAAAGCAGTGGTCTGAGGTATGGAAGGAATATGATCGAGTTATGATTAATGGGTTAAGAAAAGCTGAATGCAAACATTGCCATAAAAAGCTTGTTGCTGAATCCAACTCAGGAACTTCTCATTTGCGCAATCACTTGTTTAAATATCTAGTAAAACATGCTGATCCAGTCATGGTGAGTGGACTTTTGGGTACTCTGCCTTGTCCAGTATCGTTGCCAATTTGAGCGGCAAAGAAGGAAGAGAAAGTGGAAGAGAGTCTCATAATGCCAAATATTGTTAACTTGAAGACTGGCTCTTTTTGTCTTTCTTTGTTTAATTGTTATGCAATCTGGTTTGTAAACTAGGGAAGAAGACATGGGAAAGGAGATTACAGTTTTCATCTGTAACTCACTTCTTTCAACCATTTAAAGATGTGTTATGTCAAATGCTGGCAGAGCCTTGTCAAAACAGCTCATGACAGTTGTTTGTCTTGAGATGGTGAATGATTGAGATTCTGTGTGGACATGGTGATGGGTTTGGTTACTGTCTTAGCTAACATGGGTTGGTGTAGTTGTGAAGAAATACTGTTGCCAGTTGCCAGCATCTCTGTTGGGCCATACCCATGATCATGCATCAGCCCATTGCTTCCATTTTCTGTTTACTTTAACTAACGGTCAACTTGGCATCATTTTTTGAATAAGGATGGTTAGGAGAAAGTGAAACCTCTGGTACATCCCACAGAATCTCAAGACAAACGTACTCTGCCCTTGTGGAATGAATGCATTATATTATGTGTTGCAGGCTGCAGCAGAAAGAAATCCCAAAACAGAGATGGCAGGACATCCCACTAGAAGTAATGTAATGGCCATACCAAACTAACCGACTTCAAGAGCACAATTGCACTGAACAACCCTTTTCCGAACCAAAAGTCTGAGCAGCTCGTGAGCGGTTTGGCTCATTTGCAGCCATATGCACATCGCTTTCCAGCTTCAAAATGCGCTGGTGCAACGATGCATTTCAAACTGTCGGGTACAAGTTTTGCTCCTCAATTTCACCTAGGCTTTGGCTGGGAGTAGCAATTTGAAGGCATGCGGCCACCAACGTAGATTCATCATCGCCCTGTTCGTCGAGACTACTATTTCCATCAATAACTAACGCAATTAAAGGAACAAGAAGGTTTTCACTTCTCTTCTCCCTCCCCTGTTTTTTTTTTTCCCCGATGCTCTGTTCAACAACGGGCCGAGCTTCATAATACCAACCCTTGGTTGAGCAATCTGGTCGTCAGGGGAATGTCAAAGGAACAAGAAGGTCCGACGAAGTTGAGGCACGCTCCAGGTTCACCGGCGAATCGGGTCCCAGACTCCCAGCTTCACCAGCGACGTTTCCGGCTCCGACGAAGTTGAGGCACGCTCCAGGTTCACCGGCGAATCGGGTCCCAGACTCCCAGCTTCACCAGCGACGTTTTCCGGCTCCGACGAAGTTGAGGCACGCTCCAGGTTCACCGGCGAATCGGGTCCCAGACTCCCAGAGTCACCAGTGACGTTTCCGGCTGCCGGCGAACTGGCGGAGTCGACGGAGGAAATTCCGGTGGAAGGTTTCGCTGCTAATTTTACATATCAAATTACTATTTAGTACCTGAACTTTATACAAAAATTATAATTTGATACTTCAATTTTTTTTGTTTTACATTTAGTACCTAAATCAATAAACATTTACAAACAGGTCCAAAGTGATGGATACCCATATCCAACCCATATCCATTTTCACATGGAAAACAAAATCCAAATCCAAATCCACCTACCCAAGTACTATCCAAACCTATATAGAATAAATCCATACCCTACCCATAATATATGAGTATAATTGGATTTGGGGAAGAATACCCATGGGTGGGTAATTGCCATCCCTACTCTTAAGTGTAAAAACAAAAAATCAAACAACGTTGTTTTTTCCCACCAACAACTTTGATTTTTTTTTCAACAACATTATGGCGCCCAAGCACTACTATTGTGAAGTAGAGAAAATAAACGACACCGCTCCGGTGGCCCCGCATCGGGACATAGGCCAAAACGTCCTCAACAATGTTGTTTGCCCTTTTTTTAGCAACACTGTCGCAGGTCGCACCGCAGTTTGGACGTTTTTTTTTGTTTTTTTCTTTCACAAAACAAAGTTGCAACCCACAAAGCAACTCTGCGTTTGTTTGCCCTTCTCTTTTGCTATTATTATTTTTAAATATATTAATCATAATAAATAAGACCGCTGTTGAGCGGCGTTGGGAAAAAATAGAGCAAGGGAATAACCCTTCCAAACAACGGTATTTTTATATTTCCCCTGCTTTCAAAATCTACAGCGCTGTAGCAACTCAGCAACGTTGTTTAGATGAATGACAATACTTTGTCGTTTTATTATTTTTCACGTTGCTTATACTTTTTCTCTTTTTGAATTTTTTTCATATCGTGTGGCCTGTCAGCCACTTTTATTTTAATAATAGTAAATAGAAATTGAAACACACTGGCTAGAAATTGGCATAAACCATCATGCCAAAGGTCCACACCCACTCCCAACTCCACGGATCAAACCAAACAAGCCATTCGTGAATGCCATGACTCATCACAACTGGTTTCACACACGTTGGTTTTGATGTTTTAAAATCAATGTTGGTTTGTAACTCTCCAGTTCGTTGAGATCGAACACCTTTGTTTGAAATTCCACGAGCTCGATTTGGCTTCATCTTAGCCATAGGGTCGTGGCAGAGAAAATCACCGGTATTTGTTACTCTTGGCGGGACATTGGAGTTTTTTAACGTCTTTGTCCTGCCAAATCGACCATGTGGCATCGCTTGCCCAGACTGGTCTTGTTTTATCAGCTGCACACACTTACGACGTTGTTGAGTTTGAGGCTTACGAGCTTCACCAATCACCAACAGTCATGTGGTTATTTTGATTTTTGCACTTATCACAGAACCACTTGGTATCTTTTGAATTTTCACGTGAGATTGGAATTTTTCGGCCATTTAGCTTGCCCCCCTGCCCGAACATCATGGAAGACTTGTTCCCAGCCAGCATTGGTGTGGCAACTCCATGTTGGGTTTGATTGAACTTGCCCCCCGTTTTTACTTCTCGTCGTTAAAAACAAACAATGCTACGAAGTACAATGCAGTCATCGCGGGTTTGCACACGGCGCGTGAGCTCGGAGCGCACAAGGTTCAACTCTGATATGATTCAGCCTTAGTGATAAATCGACTGAACGACGTGTACGAAGTAAAGGAGGATGCCCTAAGCGTATATATGAGGACGGTGAAGGCCAAAAGCGCATGGTTCAAGATAGTGGAGTTCCTCCACGTGCCTCGGGAAGATAATGCCCACGATAACGCGTTATCGAAGTTGGCCACAGCTCTTGACTTTGAGGGTGACAGGCACATTATTGTCACCAAGGAGCATTCCCCGAAAGAGTCGGTGGTAGGGGAAATTATCGGCAAGGAGATGGAAGAGGTAAGTTGGATGCAGTCTCTTAAGGTGTACCTCTTACAAGGGGTGGTGCCAGAGGATGCAAAGGAAGCATGGCAAGTCAGACGCAAAGTCGCCCGCTGTACAATCATCGATGGCCAGCTGTACAAGTGATCGCATTCGGGGACCTATCTGAGATGTCTTACGGGAGAAGAGGGCAGGAAGGAAATCAAAGGAGTGCACCAAACGCTTGCCGAATGCATGTCGGAGCGAGGAGCCTGGAGAAGATGTTACTACACTAGTGTTACTATTGGCCCACCATCCGCATGGACGCTAAGAAACATGTCGATGGTTGCCATCAGTGTCAAATTCATGCCAATAATGTTCACGTCCCCTCTGCTCCCTATGCAATGTCATGTAGGCGCATGGCCTTTCGCACAATGGGGAATGGATATGTTTGGGCCATTTCTCAAGGAGCCTGGGCAGCTGAAGTTTTTTATAGTGGCGGTCAACTATTTTTCTAAATGGATTGAGGCCGATCCCCTCGGGCCATCACGCAAGCTCAAATGAGGTGGTTTACAAATAGAAACATATTTACTCACTTCGGGTTGTCGGAGTCAATCGTAATGGGCCATGGCAAACAGTTTGATTGCAAGCAATTCATCGAGTTCTGCGATGAGAAGGGATTCATCCTACGCTTCTCGTCTGCATCATACCCTCAAGCAAATGGGCAAGCAGAGGCAGCCAACAAGAGCATCCTGCACGGCCTTCATACAAGGTTGCTAGGCGCCAAAGGCAAGTGGGTCGAGGAATTACCTGGTGTGCTTTGGGCGCACCAGACGACATACAAACTGGCAACAAGGGAGTCGCCATTTTCACTTACCTATGGTAGCGAAGCAGTAATCCCTGTTAGCATACCCACCTTCAGGATGGTGAACAATGAGGCACAATCAAACGAGGAGGAGCACGCGCACGATCTCAAAAAGCCTCGTATTAATGAGCTTGGTGGACACTAATATACAAGGGTTCCTTACCTTGTATTACCGATGTGGTAATTGGATTGTCCTCATAACAATCCTCCCCTCAAGACAAGGATCACAAACTTCGTGTCCTCTCCTCAGCGATTATCTTGATACTCCCGACACCTTGTATCAATAGGCTTCTCGGCACAAGGATTTTTCCAAACTCATAAATCTCTTTGATCCGCCAAGCCCAAATGGGGATCTCTCCTAGATCCACCAAACATACACGAATCAACTTTGACCCGCCAGACAAACGGAGATCTCAAATCCTGAGGTCACCAAATGAGGGTCCCACCAAACTGACGTCCACCGCCATAAACTGAACCAGACTCTGATACCACTTGTCATAACCGGGCTGCTCATTAGTACGATATTGTCCTCTTTGGGCCAAGCTCGCACGGATTAACTCTTGGGTGTCGTCCCCGAAAGGCCTCGTACTAATTGGGCTAGGTGGAATCTAATATAAAAGGGTTGCTTCCCTTGTATTACCGATATGGTACTTGGATTGTCCTATAACAATCTCTCTAGGATTCGTGACCGCCAAACAAGGGAAAGAAAACAAAATTTTCAGTGCTCATACGCTGATACTCGAGCTGTAGTCAGCACCACGCTAGTAAGAAAATAAAATTTCAATCGAGAAGTGAATAACTAAATACGATTTATATAGGGTTAAAACAATATGTTAGCCACAACTATTAAGTTCTGGAGAATTATAGACTCAACTATCGAAATATAAATTATTAGCCATAACTATTATTGCGGGTCAAGAAATGGCTAACAACTCTGTAACCGTTAACCAGGCCGGCCATTACCACGGCAAGGATCCACGATCTGTTCGGCTCTCCGAGATCTCACCTCTTCTCCCGATCTTCTTCCAGACTCCTCCACCTCCCGTAGGGTGCCGGACCATCGCTCTGGTCGATACCTACATAGACCGATCCCGCCAGGTGGAGACCCTCCGCGCTATCAACCACTATCTCTCCTCCAAATCCTTGCCCTCACTTCAGACCAACCAAACCCCTTCCAGCAAATAGATCAAGGAAACCCTAACGTTCCTTCTCACGAATCCCGATTGCCCGATCAAGATCAACGGGTCCTTGCTGCCGCTTCTCGATCTTGATTTCCGATTGTTTCATATTTATTTAGCTCGAGGTTTTTGGGCTGGGGGCTTTGTATTGGAATCAATTGGACTATTTTTCGGTGATCGTCTATATATGTGCTGTGTGGTTTTGGGTAGGGGTGGGCACGTGGGTGGTTAATCCGGGAATTGATATCGATCCACCCGCAAATAACCCGACCCGCATGCAATGGGTGATTAATGTGGGTGGATTGCGGATTGTTAAATCTCCCACCCGCACTTATGAGGGTGGATGGTGGGTGGATTGCAGGTCACCCGTATGACTCGCGTCCTATTTTTACATGGAAAAATGTTGTTTCTTATAGTATTGAATATACATCATATTTTCTAACTGCACTACAGTCTGACCATATACTTCAAAAGGTGGATAGTAAAGAATAGTTTTTGACTACTATTATTGGTTATTATGTTGTGCAATATCCATTGAATATTGGATATTGATATGCAAATTATTGTTAATATCCATTAAATATTGGGATACAAACAATAAATTATTAATTGTATAAAAAATAACAAATTATTGATACAATCTTACTAATTTGCTACGAACTTATTATAAATGTTAGTCAATTTTCTTAATGGCTAGTTGGAGAATTGCTTTTGCGGGTTAACCCGCGACCCAACTGCACCTATCCGCCACCTACCCAACAGAACCTGAATAAGTATGTGGTGGATGACGGCTCACAAATATTCCAACCCGCTAGTAAGCGGGTGGGTCAATTTTAGACCAAAATCCACCCAACCCGCCCATTGCCCACCCCTAGTTTTGGACTGGGTGCCTGGTATGAGGCGGAGGAAGAAGAAGAAGATGGATCTGGGCGGAGGAGGAAGAAGAGGTATTTGGCGGAGGAAGAAGAAGAAGATTCAGCATTTTTATAATATTTTTTCCTTCCATTTTCTTAATTATTTAGTAATTTATTTTTTAAAATTAAAATATTATATAATGACTGCCACGTGGAAGTCAAGTCAGCATCCTAAAGTTTAGTTAGCATCATCTAACGGAATTGTTAACGGAGAGTTAACGTTTGGCTAATAATTTGTATTTCGATAGTTGAGACTATAATTTTTAGGGACTTAATAGTCTGGCTAATATATTGTTTTAACACATTTATATATATTAACTATGGAAAAACGGCATAAGAAAACGAGACAAAGTAAGGTTGGTCGATTACGACCTTTTCATCATTTTTATTTGGAATGGGATTAGGTGCTAACCCTTATAGGGGTTAGTACCGTGATAGCTAGCAAAAAACGCTACTAAAAATAACGAAATCACTACGGATTATTATAAAATCAATACAACGCTACTAAAAATAATGAAATCACTACGGATTATTATAAAATCAATACAACATCTAAGCTAAATCACTACTAATTCAAACTAATAGTAGTTTTTCCCTTGGTTAGGACGGTGCTAACTATTGTACAATTAGCACCGTAGCTGTTCCCTTTTTATTTTCACAGATAGGTTTGATAATTCTATTTCGGGGTTGGTAGCCTAGCTATCAACTATCAAGTGATCAGCTCTCGAGTAAGCGTGTTTAATTGACGTAGAAAGCAAAGGGAACAGGTGAAGAACAAATGTTAAAATGATTTTTTTTTTCTCTCTCTCTTCTTGTTGCTTTGCTGGTTATTCAATTTGTCATCCCAAGGACTACTAGAGATATTATAAGGTCAACTAACAACTATTACAAAAATGTTAAAGATCCCAGAGAGATGGCGGGCATGTATCTCATGGATGATTGGCATTTGCGAACATGTTCCTTTTGTATTCAACTATATGTGAGGTAGACGAAGAAGAAGATACGAGATGCGTTAGGTGAACGCCGATTTCAGACAAATATAGGGGATATCGTGTGTAATTTAAACATTAAAAAGTGTGGATCCCAAAACTCGATTTAATTTATAATTTAGATATATATATCTCATAAGAATTACTTGAAGTACAGTAGAATTTAGAACTATAATCGTTTGACTCATATATATATATAATATCAAATTGAAACTCAAAATGGTATATTGTGGTTAACTGTTGCAGGTGCAATGTTTCATGGTTGTATTTTCACTACTAAATTTAAGTATTCGACATATATGTTTTCACTACCAAATTCCATGGTCATGTTAAAATTTTCTATAAAGAAAAAATTGGTTTCATAATCATATAATTGGTTGGCGTAATTGATTTCCCGACTAAATTGAATGGTTCACCTCATAGTTCAATACATGGTAACCAAATGTTTGGTGACAAATAGCTCAAAATTCTCAACCAATAATTGGAAGTATAACAACAATATAAAAATGGTCACAAAAATAATTGCAAAAATTGCTTGCAATAGCTATTCTTTCTACCAATCATATAATTGGTTGAAAAAGATTGTTATGGTTGTCAAAAAGTATTGTTAACTATTTTTTTTATTTTAGAGACTAATCTTTTTCGTTGATAAAAATATTATTTTTCTTGTAGTAAGTCTTTGAAAAACTATGCAAAATATATATAAAATTTGCGTTGATAAGATGTTCGAGTAGAAATTCACGACCCTTCATAATAGTTTGAAGAAATTGCAAATTGTTCCATTTGAATCACTAAATGAACTTATTTTCAATAAGATCGAGATCCAGCCGCATTTGACCATCTGTAGATATGGAAAAGGTATGTGACATATTTTTTTTTCTTTGATCGAATAACCGAGAATAAAGTTAGGATCTTTGAATTTTGAACGTATATTAACTGAAAATAGTTGTTCTCACCTACAATTTTGGTGTGAAATAGTTGTCTTGTCCATGGATTTTCTTATATTATATCGCTTGGAGTTGCAACCGTCTTACGAAAATTGTTGGAACTAAGTTTAGGTATTTTGGAAAAATTTAGCAGGAATGTAACATTTTAGGAAAAAAATTGAGTTGTGTACTTTGGCAAATAAAATAAAAAATACATATTTTGAAGTCCAGATAGATAGCCTAATAAAAAAGTCGTCTTGCAAGAGTAACAGTGATACCGAATAAAAAGTCGTTGTAAGCCAATGTTGCCCTCTATCAATGTCTTAAAATTTTAAGATCATAATCGCCATTGATTTGATCTAATATTGGAGGACAGTGCTTATTTATTTTGTATAATTTTTTTATCAATACTAAAAAGTAGTACTTGTTTTCAAGGGGAAAATGTAGTACTACTCATTTAGGTTACTTATTAGTTTGATCACATGTGCAGGACAAATCTAATGCAATGTGATAGTTTAGATACCATTAGATAGTTCATCATTTAGTTGGGCAAGAAATTGTTATGGTTTCACACCCTTTATCTCTCTTCACCTCTGAAATTTGTCGATATAAACTCGAGCTTCTTATCGAGTTCGATAGCTTTTTATGCATAATATAAGTCAACATGATGATTTTCCTTTTGATTTTCATGACGGCCAAGGTGAACGGACGTAGTGACGCCCACTTCAGTTGTTTAAAATTGTGTTCATAGTGGTAGTGGTGGTGAAGTTGTGACTTTCTTTAATTGTTGACTACGTGTGTAGTATATCAAGATGAAGCTCACTTTAAATCTTTAATGACAATCTAATTAACACTGACATTATGAGAAAGATTACAAATTCAATATTAATTAATAGGCAATACTTTCACACTTGTGACAAATATAGCCAATTCCGTCCATTTTGTTAAACGATGTCAGTTGACGATATGACTGTACTAACGAAAGAAGTTGAGTTGGCGATGGATTTACCCCACCGACGGACGTTGATTATAAAGAAAAAATAAACAAAAATTAGAAAAAAGAAAGCGCTACACCCTTCCCTTTTTCCCTTCCCCGCCGCTACTCCTCGTCCAGCAACAACATCGACGAAGATAGCTCCATCCGGCGCTAAAGGCGGTGATGGAGAAGAACGGTGGAGGGGATGACTCTTCCTCCGCCAACGCCAAGAGGAGGCAACAGATCTGGATCCAGATTTCCCCTCATTTCATCGGTCGATCGATGGGTAGCGACGAAAAGGCCCACCGCCACAGCAGATACCAAGGTGCTTGTAGAGACAAGAGACCCACTACCGCCGGACCCATTTCGAAGTCGCCGCCTCCAGTCGTGGTTGCCGAGATAGTGCAACCTGGATCTCATCGTCGCCGCTTCTCCAGATCTTCATCGCACCCGCCAGCTCCTGCCCTTGCCTCTCATCAACATCAATTCTGAAATCGCGCCTCTCGTCAACATCAATTCGAAAATGGCAGAACAATTTCCCACCCTTGCTTACGGTTTCTCCACCACCATCGGGATCCCCTGCCCTTGTCGCCGTCGTCTCTCCCAATCTCCGATGTTTCTCTAGATTGGCCGGTGGTTATAAATCTCCAGATCTCAATCGCCACCCACCAGTAACGTCGTCCCAACTGATTCTTCATGCCATCGTCCAAGTCACCGAGATCCATCTCCCGCCCTCCCCTGCCTTCATTGAGTAGATTGTGGCCGCTGCTGTCACTTGATAAGATTCGTGGTGGGTCGTGGGAGGAAGGTAAGGGGAAGGTGTTTTTATGATTAAATATTTTTAAGTAAATATCTTTATGTAATCTACGTGTCATTTGATGCTGATTTGTCGATGACGTGTGCGCTGATTTAGTGTCATAGTCAGCATAACGCTAATAGAACTTACGGTGTTGCTAACCCCGTTAAAGTTTCTAACGAAAATGGCTAGATTTGTTACACTACCATCCTATTTTTGGGTTATTTTGTGTTTTCTGATAGTTATGGCTATATTTGTCACAAATGTGAAAGTTATTGTTATACAAGTGTACTTTGCCTAAAGAGAAAGCACGTTTACTATTCGCTAAAATTTGTACTTGGTTAACCATCAAAAAAAATTTTGTACTTGGTTGGGCTTAAGCACATATCTCCAACAGTATTTTAATCCATTTCGTGGATATTTGTCCAATTTCAACAATATTCAAATGGCTAATAAGATCAATTCAAATGGCCAACAAGATCAACACTAAGCGATATTTTCTATCAGTTTCACTATTTTACAACTTTTTTAGAGACCGTATTGAAACCTAGATACATTTTTCTCATCATTGTTAGGGTTTTTAATGGGCCGAGTCGAACCGAGCTTTGTTTAGATTTGGTTCATTAATAAACGAGTCGAACGCTAGCTCGGCTCATTTATGAACGAGCTGAGATGAGCCGAACGCGAGCCAGCTTATTTATTGAATCTTGGCCCATCATTAAGATTATTATTTCGGCTCGAGCTCACCTCTAATATAATTTATGAATTAAATACCTAATATTTTTGTCATATGCGAGACGTACTTGTTCACATACTCAAACTATTAAATGTCACATGAGATGTGATATACAATTTAATAAATATATGCATCATTAACAAACCAACTCATAAGATGTAGATTGATTTTCTCATAATTCGTAATCAAGTTGGATAGTTCATGAGTCAAACTCAACAAAGCCACCTAATCGAACTAGTTCATGAGCCTCACGAGCCAAAAAAGGTTGAGCTCAAACTCGGCTCGTCAGCAAACGAATCGAGATTTTATTAAACTATTCTCAGCTAGAGAAGGTGGGATTGGTGTAGATGGTAGCAATGGTGGAGATGGGTAAGAAAGTAGAAAATGATGAGAGAGACTGAGAATCACACTACTACCAGTAGCAGAGGGAAGTGTCAAAGAGAGGGGTCCTAGGACCGCACTTGGCCAAAAATTGGGTAACAAAACATTTAGATACTAGGATTTTGAACGTTCATTCAAGTTTAGGACCCCATATTCTCGTCGATTTTAACTCGGATAAGGACCCCAATCAATTCAAAGTTCATTAAATACACAAGCGATAGTATTAGTAATTTTTAAGGACCCCAATAAATCCAAAGTCTGGCTACGCCACTGACTACTACCATCTCTAATTATCACATTTCTTTTGCTCTAGCCATAAATAATAATTGACTTCACCAAATCATACACTATCAAGACTCAAGAGGGAATTTTGTATATAATTTAAATGCACAATTGAACAACTACATAATAAAATCATACTACAATCCACAGCATAGTGCGGGTACTTTCTAGTAAAAAAAAATATATGAGAATTAGTTAAAATCTTAGATAAAAAAACATGATCATAACTCCCACAAATGAGAACTATATTAGAATTCAATTCATTTTAAAATGAATTACTATGTAGAATTAATTGTCAAATAAATTCCTGCGTTTGGTAGTCATATTCATTCTTTAGAAATAAAGGAATTTAATCCTCAAACCATGTTTGGTATATGTTTAGAATTGAATTATATTAAAAGTTTCTCCAACTACACCCTTATTAATTTTCAAAAAAAAAATATTCATTGAAAATTCATCTTCTAAAAAACGTCTTTGGTCCCATACGTAGAATATAAAAAATGTTCTTGTGTGTTTCTATTATATTAATCAGTTCATTTCTAAAATTTCGTTGATGAACCCTACAATCTAGTTGTGCCTTCTCAAAGTACTAATACAATCGAAGCAAAAATATAAAATAACTAGCATATGCTACTAGCGTTGCAATCAAATTCTTGGTGACGTTTCTCATACTGCATCAATTGGCGCCAAATAATATATGTAGAAGGAGTTTCATTAATAAATGAGGATAATTATGTCATTCAATTATAATTAGTAAATACTTGTGTAATTCATTTGCAAATTCAATTTCAATTCCTCGGAATTGCTATAACTAGTTCCAATTCCGTAGAATTCAAATTTAGAATTGCAAATGAATTCTTTAAAATACCAAACACAAAAAGATTTCATTTCAAAATGAATTACTCGAAACTTATGGAATTCATTTATACCAAACAGTATGTTATGTTAAGGAGCAATGGAAGGAGGGGGAAAACATGATGAGGGTTGCACTTACAAGCATTGAAACCAACATCGGTTCAAAATTCAGACACCATAATCACTAGAACAGAGTCTTGTTGGCTAAAGAATTTCACAAACAATGTTTTCTTTTTATTGTCCTCTCAACTTATTCATCGCTCGCCTTGGAAGGGACGGCATTTGGTAGGCACAAACGCAGGGTACATAATGCTGGAAAACGATAGGTGATTGAAGCACCAAAGCCAGCTGATCGGGATTACCCCACCACTTTTCCTCCAAAACCTCGACGTCGGCAGCTCGTTCTTGAGGATTCGTGTTATAAACGCGCTGCTACGGATCGGGAAATCGCAGGAATTGACAAAGCAAGAATACGAAAGCGAGAATCGAAAACACGACACACGATTTACGTGGTTCACTAACACGATGTGTGTTAGCTACGTCCACGGGCGAGAGAGAGCCAGTTTCACTATATCAAGGAGATTACAGATTACAGAGGAGTATGAGAAGTATTTATAGTACTTCTCCATGTGGGTCTAAACCTAATCCAATCTAGCAAAGGAAACGGTTACAGACCAGGCCCAGAACCCGAACCCAAATAACATTGAGCCCATACACCGTGGGCCGGGGGCGTTGCCCCCGCACCCCCACCGCTGACCGGGCAGCGAGACCCCCGATTACCAGTCGTAGCGGCTGATAGTCCGATTCAAGTCACATCAACAAATCTCCACCTTGACTTGAATCCTCTTCCTCTGAAATCTCTGATGTACTCTGCTCCTTCTCCCTCTCTCCCGCCATCAATGCCCCGCAGGGCGGAGTCACCCACTCAAGACATTCAGCAAGTCCAAGCAGTGTTGGAACTTGCCATGTGGAACCGGCTTCGTGAACATGTCAGCAGGATTATCCACGGTGCCAACCTTATTCACCTTAATCCTCTTCTCTGTCCTCAAGAAATTATACCTCACGTCGATGTGCTTAGTCCTCTCATGGTGGACTTGATCCTTGGCCAAGCATATTGCACTCAAACTGTCGCAATACACCACTGCCTGATCATGATGTAGACCCAGATCACCAACCAGTCCCTTCAACCATATTCCCTCCTTAGCAGCTTCTGTCAACGCCATATACTCTGCCTCAGTAGTAGACAATGTCACCGCCGACTGCAAAGTTGCCTTCCAGCTCACTATAGAACTCCCAAGAGTGAATACATAACTGGTCATCGATCTCCTCGTGTCAACATTTCCAGTATAGTCCGAGTCAGAATACCCAGACACCAAGCACTCTGTATCACTTCCGAAGCTAATCCCCACATCAGGTGTACCCTTAAGGTACCGGAAAATCCTCTTCACAGCCTGCCAATGCTCCTTCCCAGGTTGTATCATGAACCTGCTGACAACACTAACAGCATGTGCAAGATCAGGTCTAGTGCATACCATAGCGTACATCAAGCTACCTACTACACTAGCATATGGGACTCTCGACATGTACTCCTTCTCAGCCTCTGACTGCGGTGCATAAACTGAGGATAGATGAACATTTGAAGCACTAGGATTATTTAAGGGCTTTGCTGAAGACATGCCTAACCTCGACAGTATCTTCTGGATGTAGCTCTTCTGTGACAAGAAAAGCTTCTTCTTCGACCTGTTCCTGTAAATCTCCATACCCAAGATCTTCTGAGCAGCTCCCAAATCCTTCATCTCAAACTCAGCACTGAGAAACCCCTTTAACTTCTGGATATCAGACTTTGACCTCGCAGCTATGAGCATATCATCCACATACAAAACAAGATAGATCATCGAAGCATCCTCCACCTTGTTGTGATACACACAACAATCATATGGACTTCTGCTATAGCCCAGCTCAAGCATATAACTGTCAAACCTCTTGTACCACTGCCTCGGAGACTGCTTAAGTCCATACAAGGACTTCTTCAGCTTACAAACATAGTCTTCTTTTCCCGGAACCTCGAATCCTTCTGGCTGAGTCATGTAAATTTCTTCCTCCAACTCTCCATGTAGGAAAGTTGTCTTCACGTCTAGCTGCTCGAGCTCCAAGTCATAATGTGCCACTATTGCTAGTAGCACTCTGATCGAAGTATGTCTGACCACTGGTGAGAAAATCTCATTGTAGTCAACTCCTTCTCTCTGCGAGAAGCCTCGTGCAACCACCCGAGCTTTAAATTTCATGCCCTCTTTAGAAGTGATTCCTTCCTTCTTCTTGTAGATCCACTTGTTTGTAACAATCTTCCTTCCCTGTGGTCGTTTGACTAGCTCCCAAGTCTGATTCCTGTCATGGGATTCCATCTCATCTCCCATTGCGGCAAGCCACTGATCAGCTTCGCCACCCAAAACGGCTTCTCTATAGGACTGTGTCTCACCTGCATCCACTTCTTCAGCAACCTGAAATGAATACGCCACCATGTCCTCGAAACCATACCTCTCTGGAGGTACTCCTGCAGTCGCTCTCTTTGGTCTACCGGAAGCTATAGACTGTTGAGCTCCTGCACTGGACTTTGAAGTTTCTGGCTCTGTAGAAACATGCTCATGTTGATCATCTCCACCTTGGTGCTCAAACTCACTCTCATTGAGAGTTTGCAGCTCCACCTGCTTATCAACATTCCTGCTACCTTCAACAACAGTAACCTTCAACATGGGGTTAAATATAGACTTCTCATCAAATATCACATTTCTACTGAGGATAACTCGATGCTCAGAAGGCGACCAGACTCGAAATCCCTTAACTCCATCTCCGTAACCCACAAATACACCCTTCTTTGTCCTTGGGTTCACTTTACCCTCATCCACATGATAATAAACAGGACACCCAAAAACTTTCAGTGAAGAGTAATCAGCATGCTTACCATACCACACCTCATAAGGAGTCTTCAACTCAATACCCGTGTGAGGTCCACGGTTGATCAGGAAGCACGCCATGTTCACTACTTATGCCCAGAATCTTCTCTCTAGTCCAGCATTAGAGAGCATGCACCGTGCTCTCTCCAACAATGTCTGGTTCATCTTTTCTGCAATGTCATTCTGCTGGGGTGTATCTCTCACAGTCCGATGAAGGGCAATCCCTTCATCCTTGCAGAATTCGTTGAACTCAGAATTACAAAACTCCAGACCATTGTCCGTTCGCATCTTCTTGATCTTCTTCCCGGTCTGATTCTCCACCAATGTCTTCCACTGCTTGAACTTCGTGAAAGCCTCACTTTTCTGCTTCATCATGAAAATCCAAGTAAATCTCGAATAATCATCAATAATAGACAGAAAATACCTGCTACCTCTAATGGATTCAACTCATGAAGGACCCCAACAGTCGGAGTGGAGGTAATCAAGTATCCCCTTTGTCCGGTGGATACCCTTCTTGGGAAACTTGCTGCGACGTAGCTTCCCAAACACACAGTGCTCGCAGAATTCCAAATTCTGCATCTTGTGCCCGCAAAGAAGATCCCTCTTCGATAGAACTTGCATCCCTCGTTCACTCATATGCCCCAGTCTCATGTGCCAGAGAGTGGTCATATCTTCCTGATGAACTTGAGAAGATGCAACTGCAGCAGAACTAGACAACACAGACCCTTGTAACGCATACAAGGTCCCACGCTTCACGCCCTTCAGGTGCTGACATCATTCACGGTACAGAACGAACCATCATGTGTCCGAACCTTTATGGACCCGATTCCAACAACCTTGCAGACAGCTCCATTAGCCATGACCACGTTACCACCATCTATCTGCTCGTAGGTTGTGAAGCAATCCCTGTTCGGAGACATATGGTATGAGGCTGCAGTATCCAGAAACCACACACCACTACGATGTGCCTTCTCATCTACAGCCAAGGCGAGATCGTCTTCAGAACTGTTGTCCACTTCTGCCACGGCAACTGAACCTTGTTTCTTCTGTTGCCCTCTTCTCTTGGGACAGTTGTACTTCCAATGCCCCACTTCCTTACAGTTGTGGCAAGCATCACCTGGCTGTGGACCGGGACCCTTGGAATTCTTGTTCGAGTTCCCTTTACCAGATTTCTTCTTTCCCTTTCCACCTGTAACAGCCAAACCCGATGCCTCACTACCTGTACCAGAACCAGACGCTTTATGCCTGATCTCTCTCGTATGAAGAGCAGACCTGACATCCTCCAACGACACGCTTTCTTTACTGGCAATAAAAGAATCAACGAAATTCTCATATGAACTCGGCAAAGAAACCAGCAGGATTAGGGCAGCATCCTCGTCATCAACTTGAACATCTATATTACGCAGATCCAGCAAAATAGAGTTAAGTTGTTCGAGATGTTCCCTCAAAGGCGTACCTTCTTGCATCCTCAAGCTGAACAACCGTTTCTTGAGATGCAGCTTGTTGGTTAGAGACTTAGTCATGTACAGACTTTCTAGTTTCAACCACAAGCTCGCGGCAGTCTTCTCAGCAGCGACTTCAATGATGGCGTCATCAGACAACGATAGTATGATGGTCGAGTGGGCCTTCTCCTCCAGGGTATTCCACTCATCGTCATCGACCGCTGCCTTCTTCTGTTTCGCAGACAGCGGCCCCCACAGCCCTTGCTGTTTTAATAAAGCCTGCATCTTGATCTGCCATATAGCGAAGCTGTTCTTCCCCGTGAACTTTTCGATCTTCATGTTCACCGACGTCATTCTTCTGAATCGAAAACCCTAGCCTGATTTCCAGCCGCGGCTCTGATACCACTTGTTATAAACGCGCTGCTATGGATCGGGAAATCGCAGGAATCGACAAAGCAAGAATACGAAAGCGAGAATCGAAAACACGACACACAATTTACGTGACTAACACGATGTGTGTTAGCTACGTCCACGGGCGAGAGAGAGCCAATTTCACTATATCAAGGAGATTACAGATTACAGAGGAGTATGAGAAGTATTTATAGTACTTCTCCATGTGGGTCTAAACCTAATCCAATCTAGCAAAGGAAACGGTTACAGACCAGGCCCAGAACCCGAATCCAAATAACATTGAGCCCATACACCGTAGGGCGGGGGCGTTGCCCCGCACCCCTACCGCTGACCGGGCAGCGAGACCCCCGATTACCAGTCGTAGCGGCTGATAGTCCGATTCAAGTCACATCAACAATTCGGATGATGAACTGGCCTCAGTACGTGACTGCTGACCTGGCCTCGATGTCTACGTCTGTGCATGGGCATCTTACTGCTATTCCAAGCCCAGGGCATAGAACCCATCGACGCCTTGTGAAGTTGGCGGATAAGACCGAACCAGCCGACTGTCCGCGAATGAATGCTCATCACCAATTGGAGCCTATGCCTGCTCCCCGAGTGCAACATACAAAGCCTCGGCAGCGGCTTGCTAAGGTCTCCGTCACTAAGAAAAGGGAGACCGCAAAAGGAAGGTCCTTTTTCCCCCATCATAGTACCTCGGCCAAAGGGTTAACGACTGAAGCTAGCGGACAAGAAGGTTTGGACAACTCTCCTCCTGTCGGCTCGAATGTGTGGACACACTCTCAGCCTCAAGAGGTGTCTGTCTCGGCTCACTGCCGCCTGGTCACTGCTATGGTGGATGGGTCGAAACATTCATCTGCCGTGGAGGATTCATCATCTAAAGATGACGCTGGGTGCTTTGAAGTGAGGAGCCAAAGGCCAACCACAAAGCTAAATCATGTGCGTGGCACTAATGATGGCTTGGTGCGTAAGGTGGCTGAGGCTGGAGGGGCCACAGTCCACACTAGAATGAAGGATGCTACTGGTGGGTTGTCACTGGGACTGGATGAGTATGGCTCAAGTTTGACCGATCATGAGAAAGGAGGACGCAAGCAGACCGTCCATGAGATGGATGGAGACATTGTGGATAACCCTACCCCCAAGAAACAATTCATTGAAGAAGATAATAGCAATGATCAGGTGGAGGAAGCCAACCTAGAATGGTCTCAGTCGGATAAATGAGGATTCTAGCCTGGAATGTGAGAGGAATTGGACCATCACTCACATTCCAAACAGCTGTAGGATTAATTCATTCCAATAAATCGGATCTCGTGTTATTTTCGGATGCATGATCGAGCCGGAGAGTCGTGTCCCGTCGTATGAGGGGTTTGGAGTTTCATTCTTCCCACTGTTTTTTTTAATGCGGTTAATGCATCAGGTGTTCTAGTCGTAGCTTGGTCCTCTGAAGTCACCGCTTCACTGTTTTTCATTCCTCTTTTTGTATTGGAGTCCAAATTAATGAAAGTGTTTTTTCATATATTGTGTTTTGTGTCTGTCTCGATTGCGATGCCTCCACTAGAATGATGCAATTAACCCATCTTAGAGGGATTTGTGATGCAGCGCAACTGCCTTTTGTGGTCATTGGTGACTTTAATGCTACTCTTAAGGAGACCGAAAAAGATGGAGGAAATCCTTGGAGTGTAGCGCAATCAACTGCCCTCCGTGAGTTTGTTCATGATCTTGGTCTGCATGATCCGAGTTATTAGGTGTATGGCGTAATATGTGCCAGAGTAAGCATGATAGGGGTATGGGGTTTCGCCGGTTCGAGCACTTTAATCAAGCCCTCCTAGCCAAAATTGGATGGCAAATCTTGAATGAACCCCAATCTCTCCTGGCTCAGGTCTATAAAGGAAAATATTTTCCGAAGGGAGATTTCCTTACTTCTACGGCTCGCTCTCGTCCTTCCTATGGCTGGCAAAGTATCCTTTATGGTCGCCAGTTATTAGAGTTGGGGCTCCGCTGGCATATTGGAAATGGTTGGAAGGCGTCTCTGCTTCATTCGAACTGGATCCCTCTCTTGCATCCTGATACACCCAGACATAACCCGCGAGTGTTGCCTCCGGGGGTGATCCACCTATTGCTGGGGTGTTATGTCAAGGGGAGGGACGTTGGTGTGACCTCAAATTAGAACAGTGGTTCGACCAACCAACTTGCCAGGCTATTAAAACTATCACTCTTCCTCGACAGGATAGGCTGGTATGGCATGCTACGAGTGATGGGATTTTCACTGTTAAATCGGCTTACCATTTTGCGATCAGGTTGGATAAACAGAGAGGAAGGTGGAAATCCACTGCTAGTTGGATGGATAGAGCAATCTGGATTTGTTTGTGGGAGGCTAATATCCCGCCTAAGTTGAAGGTATTTGTCTGGCAGATCTTCAATAGAGTCTTACTAACCATAGAAGCCCTAATTAAAAAATATGTTCATGTTCTCCCATGTTGCTCCGTGTGATGGGAAGCCTCTGGAATAATGGAGCATTTGTTCCTAGATTTTCCAGTAGCACGTGCTCTTTGGGGCCATGTTGGGATGGAACATCTAGGGGGAGGATAGCCTAGGCACACATTTCCACTTTTTTAAAGAAGTTGTTGGCTCTTGTTTACCAGCCCTCTATCTTCTCTGCGATTGTTGCTATCCTTTGGAGAATCTGGCGATCTCGGAACTGGGTGGTCTTTGAAGGAAAACAATGGGATCCTGGCTCTGATGCGGCAATTTAATCAGCAATATGAGGAGTGGGTTGGCTTGTCGGTGGATCAGATACTCCATCCTTCCCATCTGCCTTTACATCGCTTGAGCCTTGTGGGGTCTCCTTGTGTCGTCTGTATGTGCGATGGGGCTACGAGGAGGGGGTCTGAAAGAGCGCATATCTAGGTGTGCGATTAGGGATCGTGATTGGTATGAGAATTAGGGATTTGGGTGAGGTAGAATTGGAATTAGGGTTGAGAGAAGAGGATCTCGATCACCGGGAAGGTGGCCGACGGGTAGAGAGGGAGAGGAAGGGGCTCTGCTAGAGAGAGAGGGAGAGTGCTTAGGGAATAATTCTATTGTTATTGCTTAACCCTAGTTTAGGCCTAACACAGAATATATATAATTCGACTAATTCCCTATAACTACCCAAAGACTTAACCTAACCGATTTAACCCCAATAATTCCCGAAATAGGCGACATATCATAAAACGTCTAAATAACAAATAAACCCCCCAATTAATGACTATCTAACATCCCATCCCCCTTGAAACCCACCTTGCCCTCAAGGTGGACCTTTTTTCTTATCTTCCTTCTTCTCTTCCGTTTCTCACACCTTCTTCTCCTCCCCTTCATCTTCCCATTTTCCGACAAGCAGCATTAGATGTCCCTTGGCGCACTGGTGTCCCACCGTGTACCTTTCATCGCAGTTGAAGCAACGACCGTCTCTGCGCTTTTGGTCCATTTCCGCCTGAGTTAGCCGGACAAACCCCTTTGGTGGCAGCCTTGACTTGAACCTGTTTCCCGTTGCTGCTCCAGTGGCCGCCGGGCTTGTATTTCCCGGTGGCGGTGCGGTACCAGCTCCTGCTCCCATTCCTCCACTGGCCTTCTGAATACGCCCAGCCGACGTCCTCTAACTAGCCAACTCCTCTTACTTGCGCCCTGCAATCCTGAAAGCAACTCGAAGAGAGTCAGGTTCGAAAACCTTAACAGCGGTTGCCAGCTCAAGCCGGAGTCCCGCCATACATAATCCCACCGGGGTCTCCTCTGTCATTTCCTTGCACTGGTTCCCCAGCTTAAGGAACTATGCGCGATACTCCGCCACTGACCCCATATGTCTGAGCTTGGCTAGCTGTTCCGGAGCCCATCCCTCCGCCTTGCCAAACTAATAGCGGAGCTCGTCCTGGAACCCGGGCCATGATATGACCTCCCCTGCCGCTGCATAAGCTCTCTCGATCCATTCCCACCACTGGAGGGCATCTCCCTCAAGATAGAAGGATGCCAGGTGCGCCTTCCGCTCTTCTCGGATCGGGTGGTTCCTGAACCACCTCTCAGCTGCATACAACCACAACCCCACATCTCCCGACCCGTCGAACTTGGGAAACTCTATCACTGGCGGTTTAGCTCAAAATACCAATTCCTCTGCAGTCTCATACAAAGGGTTACTGTATTCGTATCTGCCTGTGTTTGGCGGTGGCTGTCGATTCACCGGACCCTGATAGTAGTAGCTGCCCGCGACTCTCTATGGTTGAGGGTAGGGCTAGTCGCCCGTCATCTCCTAGTGGTTCTGGCCGTACTCAGGTTTGGTCCCAGACCCTTGCACAATGTCCCGACAACCTCGACCTCGTCCTTCCCTTGCTCGCGGCGTACTCCACGGGGGATACCCGTGCTCCGGTCCTCTGCCATGACCCCTGCCCGGGCCGCCCCAGCTGCTGCCCGCCGGTGGTTGACCCAACCCAGTCCTATCGATTGGTCGTCTAGTGGTCGGACCGGTTCGGCCCGATTTTTGGTCCGTGACCCAGTCCCATCTCGCCTCCTCTGGGATCGGATCCACCCAGCCTTCCGGGTCCACGAAGCTGAGCTCATCCTCCTCCCCTGGCCCAATCGGCCATGGTTCTTCTCCACCGGGCCCAATCGGCCACGGCTCTCCTTCGTACCCCACTATCTTCTGCTTCCCACGGGCCTTGTCGGGGGCCTGATCCGTCGACGTGGGCAGCAAACACGACCTACTGAATGTTGGCGCGGGCGCGCTCACACGGGTATCTCCCTGCTCCAAAGCGCGGTTGTGCAGTATGGCCGAGCTCCCCGGCTCCCCGCCCGTCGCGGCCAGGGCTCGCGTCGGCCCAGCCTCCTCACCGCTGCCGCCTCCTCCCGGCGCGCCCCCGCCGCGGGTCTGCTCGCTCCGGCGTCGCCCCTCGGCAGCTTCGCCTTGCTCGCGGCCACCGAATCGCCGCCCTCTTGGTCCGCCATTCCAACCACGGCTGCTGCCAACGTCACCCCTAAGGCTGTGGTCGCCGGCGGCTCCCGATTCCTAAGAACCTGGGTTAGCACCTCTTGCATCGTCGCCGTCAGGGCTCCGCAGATGTTTTCAACCACGCTCTTGCCCATCTCTTCGTTGGAAGCCTTGATATGGTCGCCCATGTCTTCGATTGCCCCGATCGAGCCTTTCGAGGCCTCAGCTGCCCTCACAGTAACCTCAGTCAGGCTCTCCAATGATGCTGCCATCGCGTCATACTTGCTCATCGTCACATCCTTGACTGTCACGACCTCTTTGTTCTGGCGCGGCGGGTGCTGTTTGTCGGTAGGGCTTGACATCTTCAGATTGCAATGTTCCTTCGGAGAATCGGCATACCAACTAGGCTCTGATACCAATGAAAGAGCATGGATCTAGGTGTGCGATTAGGGATCGTGATTGGTATGAGAATTAGGGATTTGGGTGAGGTAGAATTGGAATTAGGGTTGAGAGAAGAGGATCCCGGTCACCAGGAAGGTGGCCGAGGGGTAGAGAGGGAGAGGAAGGGGCTCGGCTAGAGAGAGAGAGAGAGAGTGCTTAGGGAATAATTATGTTGTTATTGCTTAACTCTAGCTTAGGCCTCACATAGAATATATATAATCCGACTAATTCCCTATAACTATCCAAAGACTTAACCTAACTGATTTAACCCCAATAATTCCCGAAATAGCCGACATATCATAAAACGTCTAAATAACAAATAAACCCCCCCAATTAATGACTATCTAACAGGGTCGCACTCGGCAGGTGGAATGGTGATCAAGAACCACATCGGGGCAATCCTCCTGGCTAGTGGGGTTCAGTTCCCATTGATAGATGATCCAATGACGGTTGAATTACTGGTGTGCTCCGTGAGGCGATTGTTTGGTTTCTCGAAAATGAGGTTTGAAGGAGATGTCAAGGTGGTCATTGAGAAAATTATTCGAGCTGATGTCAGGAATTCTCGGATAGGGGCGATTCTGGAGGAAGTTGTGCACCTCTTTACGCTTCATGCAGGGTTTAGTGTTCGATTTGTAGGACGGAGTAACAATAGGGTAGCCTATTTGATGGCTCGAAATACCCTTTCTTTGTACCAGACTGCGAGTCGTTTCTTTGATTTCCAGACTTGGCTACATTCTAGGTGTCATAACTGGGCAGCCCATTAGTACGATATTATCCGCTTTGGGCCGAGCCCGCACGGTTTTACTCTTGGGTGTCCTCCCCAAAAGGCCTCGTACTAATGAGATTGGTGGACACTAATATACAAGGGTTCCTTCCCATGTATTTCCGATGTGGTACTTGGATTGTCCCATAACAATCCTCCCCTCAAGCCAAGGACCACGAACATCGTGTCCTCACCTCTGCGATTATCTTGATCCGCCATACACCTTGAATCGATGGGCCTCTCGTTACAAGGATTTTCCAAACGCAGAACTCTCTTTGATCCGCCAAATCATGAGCCCAAACATGGATCTCTCGTGAATCCACCAAACCAGACGCAGATCGCAAATCCCGAAGCACCGAATGAGGGTCCACCAAACTGACGTCCACCGCCCCGCACCGAACCAGGCTCTGATACCACTTGTCATAACTGGGCAGCTCATTAGTACGATATTGTCCGCTTTGGGCCGAGCCCGCACGGTTTTACTCTTGGGTGTCCTCCCCAAAAGGCCTCGTACTAATGAGATTGGTGGACACTAATATACAAGGGTTCCTTCCCATGTATTTCCGATGTAGTATTTGGATTGTCCCATAACACTATGATGTAATTGCCTATGTTCAAATCAATGACTGATTATCATTTGTAAAAAAAAAAAAAGGTAACGTCCGTTATTTTGGTTCAAATGTTTTGGCGACGATTTCATTCGGCTGTGGAAGTGGAACACACAGATCGAGAGGTTACCATCTTTGACCGTAGTTGGTAAATGGCATTTTCATCATTATTTGTTCTTCTTGTTTCTTTGCCTACCAACTTTTTGGGGTACGTGGTGGGTGGTTGGACGGACCCGTCAACCAATTCAAAACTCTCCGGCTTTCACTCGCTAGTAAATTGCGAGTGAATTTTAATGGCGTGTTTCGATTGCTAATGTATAGTATATAACCCTAGCTAGTTAATGATTCGATGGAGCACTTTTACTATACTATATAGTATTGGTGTTTTAATCTACAATTTGAAGTTGTACCATAATGTTAAATGTATAAGTTTAGATTGTACTATAAAGGAATTTGTATCATTATGTTATGGTACAACTTTACAACTTGAAGTTGTATCATCACATAAGGTACAAGTTTAAGTTGTACCATAAAAAAATTTGTACAAAAAGTATAGGTACAATCTGAAGTTGTACCATAAAGTCAAAAACCTATAGCACCAATGCTATATAGCATTGTAAAATTCCTCGATTAAATGATGTTCGAAACCTATATAGTCATCCGACCTCCTGTCCGTCTACGATATATCCATTCACGATCACCCACCTAATTCATCATCAATAAAAGAGTTAATACCTTATTTTGTTCCTAACTATATTCAAACTTTTTACTTTGGTCCGTGATTTTTGAAATTGCTCCTCTAGCCCGAACTATACATCATACTTACTTGCTTAACCCGATGTGTGTTTTGACAGTTAAATTAGACAATCAACTCCATTAATTATTAGTCAAGCGTCAGGTCACTTGCCACGTGAACAAACCCAAAATAAAAACTTTGGATTTTTGAAATTTTGAATTATTTTTCGTTATAAAAAATTTTGATTTTTTTGTTAATTATTTTTTATTAGAAAAAAATGAATTAAATAAATTAAAAATTAAACTACTTTATTTCGGTTCTAATTCCAATAACATTTCCAATTACTAGTACTTAATTAAGCTCCACCAAGTCTATTTAATATCTCGTCGATGGGCACATAGGTTTTTGAGCTGAAAGGGGCACATCTATATTCCGTCATTGAGTGAGAATTAGTTCTTATTCCAGCTCCTGGATTAGTGATTCTTGTACTTGGATTTTGAAAAATGGAAAAGGACTCCGAATCATTCTCTTGAAGCTCATCCTCTTCATCATAAATGATCCGCTTGTCCCATGACACAATAAGAATAATCCTTTGTTTGTAAGGAAATGAACTCCATGAATTCAACCTCTTAGGATTAATTTAGGAGTTATTCCAATATGGATCCAGATTCGTGGTTTTCCTATTGAGTATTTTAGAGTGGAAGGTAGTGGCGAAGTCAGCGGGCGAAGGGAGCTTTTCAAACTACCCATGTCCTCTTTTCATAATTTAAATATATAAGTATTTAATTAAGAATTATTTAATAAAAAATAATAAATTTATTATATCCAAATAATTCTTTCATAGATTAAAAATAACCGATTATACAATCATTGTTTTCATAAACAACCATGAAAGAATTTCATATTGGGAAAGAAAAGCAAAAGCATTTGTTATCTATACTATTAAATTAGTCTCTTTCAATGTATCTCACTAAACAAGCACTAACAAACTGGTTGCCAAATCGACTTGCAAATTTGTTCCTAATATAACTCAAAGTTGAAAAATGCTCTTTTTACACTTGCAGTTGTAATTGGCAGAATCAAAATTAGTAGAATTGTCGTTGTCGCTAGACAATTCAGATTGTTGAGGAAAAGATTGAATAGGCATAAGGAGAAAAGAGATCCGATTAGGTTTTTATTGCAATTGAAATTTCGTTTATAGTATAATAAATTAATTTTATGTCAATTTTTTAACAACTAATGAGATGTGTTGTATTAACAAAATACTCTAATACTACCTATACGTGTTGTGTTCCATCACCCATATAAATATATATGACATATTTTTGTTCTTTCAAAATTTATCCCTGTCCCGGAACAAGGCTAAAGGGCCTGCCTCCGCCTATGGTGGAAGGATTGAGCAGAGTAGCGAATGTTCTAGGCACTCCTCTCTGGATGGATCGAGCAACTCGATTAGGGTTCCAGATCAAAATGGCCAAACTATCTATGTATTGAAATTGTTGCAGCTTCCTCCTTCCCCACTGAATTCCAAATTAAGTCAGAAGGTGGTGAGTTTGGGCATAAAGTTGAAGAAGGGCCTGAATGAAAGGTTATTGGAGTTTCAACTGTAAATTAAATGGGCTGGTAACTGCTGAGCTAATTCAAGGTGAGGATATGCAAATTAAAAGTTGTGTTTTGGTTCCGAAGAAGGTTGGAGAAGCTAGCTCTGTTGAAGTAGATATTGTTACCATAAGTTTATCTAGTCCTTCGACTCATACTATAAAAATCCTAGTAGGACGAGCACTTCTACTATGCTATATAGTATTGGTGCTTTAATGTACAACTTAAAGTTGTACCATAACATTAAATGTATAAGTTTAGGTTGTACCATAAAGCAATTTGTACTATTATGTTATGGTACAACTTTACAACTTGAAGTTGTACCATCACATAAAGGTACAAGTTCAAGTTGTACCATAAAAGAATTTGTACAAAAAGTATAGGTACAATCTGAAGTTGTACCATAACGTAAATGTACAATTTTAAGTTGTACCATAAAGGCAAAATCCTATAGCACCAATATTATATAGCATTGTAAAATTTCTCCTAGTATGACATGATTTCACAAACACAAGTTTAAATTACCTAATCAATCATAATCATGTAAACAAAAGAACACAAACAAAAAAGTATGAGAAGTGTTGAATTGGGAAAAAGGAGGTTTGGTTCTGGTTGGGCCCAGCCACCCATTCTCACCAACCTCAGCCACCAACTCCCCACCACCACCATCTCTCTCTCTTCTTCCTTTTTTTTTTTTTTTTTTATATCTTCCTAGTTTACTTTCTTCTGCTTATATACTCCGCCCTGCCCCCCAACTATTTTTGAGTTGCATTTTTCAGCCTTTTATTCTGACTAATGTTCCTTTTATTTTGTTAGAGTTCCATATCATCTTGATTCTTGAACCTATGGAGTGGACCACGCATCTCAGCAGCGCGTCACTATTCTTCCACCTACTTTTGGCTTCAATTTAATTCGCCCTCTTTCATTTATTTTTTCACGGATAAATTTATATGCAAAATAGTTGTTAAGCATGGTTAACAAAACCCAAACTCACGGCTATCCATCCGATCCAATTCGGTCAACGCGGGAAAAATTCATGTTGACTGATTTTGGGCCGGGTTTGGGTTTAAACCCGTTCACTATTCACCGGGTTGTGTTGGGTTTAGGTAAACCCGGCCCATGGGTACCCGCCCACACCCATATAATTAATTTTCTCGGCATAATTAATATTCTAAACAACTAATCTTATTTATGTTTATGGAGACATGTCTAATTTTTTCTTTCTAGTTGTGTAGAATGAAATTGATGTTATCGAGTGGAGAGTGAAAAACTTAATTAAAGGAAGAAGTTTTCAATTAATCATGTTATTTATGGATAATTTTTTATTTGCTTCAATTCTTGAGTTTTCTAGATTGGTGTTGAACAATTGGTATAGTTAATTTGTGATTTGATTGAATTTTCTAGAATGGTGTTTTATATATGGATAATTTGTATTGAGAGATTGATATTTGACTTTAACTTTGATAGGAACTTGTTATTGTGAATTTTTTACGACAAAAACCCGTGGGTATCCATGAACCCGCGGATAACCAACAGGTTGGGTTGGGTTTGAGTTTTTCAATCCCAGTGGGTTTACCCCGGGTTTTTTTCACGGATAAACCCATGAGTTTGTGTTTGAGTTTGGAAAAACCCGACTCATTGCCATCCCTACCGGCCGGCGTGCTTCAACCGGTACCGGTCATAAAACCGGCATGACCGGCATGATCAATATATGAATCTCTAAATAAAATAACCTTATTTTAGTGAATTTAATTGATAACAAATTATTGTATTATTTAGTTTATGAATATAAAAGTTAGATATTGATGTTATTTGTTGGATTCAAGTATAAATGTTTAGGTATTGACGTTGTCATGTTTAAATATGAGTATTTATAATTTTATTTGTAATATCGACCGGTATGAACCGGCACAAGCCGGTATGTGCCACCGGTCGAACCATTCCACTTGCTAAACCGACACACTGGCATCAACCGGTTTGACAACCTTCTTGTTAAGTAACACTTTGTTTGGCAACAAGGGGGTGTAAATTGTAGGGGGTGCAAGTTGAGGGGTAAATTGTTGGGGGTGCAAATTGTTGGGGGTGTAAGTGGAGGGGTAAATTGTTGTTTGGATGAAAAAGTAGGGGTGCCTATAGAATGAAAAGTAAGTAGTTATATTATTATAAAATAGATTTATTAAAATTATAAAATACTATCACAAAATAATAGAATAAATATTATTATATAATAATTTTACTTTATTAAGAATAGTTATTATATAATCATGCTTAAATAATAATTAATTATAGCAATTATAATAATCATTGATCGAGCGATCTCAAAACTCGAAGCTCAACTCGTAACTGGTCATCCTATATAGAGTTTTCGTGTCTAGTTTAATCTTAAATTGTCAAAATTAGTCAAACACATTCGAATTTGTAAGTTTTAACTATTTAGTCAAATAAACTGAGTTAACCAAACAATTTCTCTTTATCTTTTCCACAAACACGTCGTATCTCTAATTTTCAATGCAAATTCGAGTCAACCAAGAGATCTAGATTTGACTTGACGAACATTGATAAACTTGTTTCCGGAGTCAAATGGTCAACCCCGAATAATGTCTACATTAATATTATTTATAAAAAAATTAATAAAAAAATTATTATATAATTATATATAACAGAATTAGAAAAACAAAATTCCATAATTTCCCC